AAGACACGGCCGAGATACTACATCTCATGTTTGCTAACATGCCCGACTTGCAGGTCATATGGGACACACGCAAAGCCACGGAGGAAGGCATTCGTCTCAGCACTCAAGGAGCGATGCCGGTGGCTATACCCATGCCCATCACGAGAGATGCAGTCATGCTCCAGGAAGCCATAAGAGCCTGGCACTCAATGGACGAGGCGGTCACGGCCCTAACGATTCATGCGGACATGATATGCATACAGCTGGGGCGGTATCAGCCACAAGGAAAGCGCTTCAACATCGTTGACCTGCCAGAGCAGGTCACGGTCCCAGTTTTCCAGGAAGATTCCGGTGTGCAATGGAAGCCGTACTACGTGAGCTGCGCTATCATCCATCTCGGCAGGACTCCAACCGCGGGCCACTACCGTGCCCTTCTTCGGGTCGGGCCCTCGTGGTGGCTAACAGAAGACAACAGAGTGGCTGAACGCATAAATCTACATGATGGACATCATCGCAATGTCTACGTGCTTTTCCTTGTAAGTCAGGCGGCGCGAACTAGAGCACAGATGGATGCATCTGTGCCAACTCGCTGCTAGCTAGGCTCAACCAAAGTCTGCCCTCCCAAGCCCGTCCTGTCCAAATTGTATTGCAGAATGGAGGAAGCACCGGACAAGACAACACAGGCGGAGGGTGGCTTCTTTGACCAGTACTGGCCAAGCGTTCAGGCCGCGCAGGCAGCGGGAGCACGCCAGATGGAGGAGGATGAAGATACGGAGAAAGCCGATGCGGACAGAGCCGCTAAGCAGCCGCGCTTCGGCGAGACCAAGGGCAACCCCGGAAAGGGAAGTGGCAGCAATCGCCCGAGCCCGGGTCGTGGTGGTGGCGGCGGCGGTCAGGGCCGCAGACGTGGCAGAGATACCGACAAGTGGGGAGAAGGATGGGAGGATTCCGAATGGCCCGAGTGGGGCAATGACTCCTCAGACAAGTGGGGCTCCGGTTCCAGGGAGTCCAAAGAGGCCAAGGAGCTCAAGGCCCTTCGCAAGGAGGTCAAACAGCTGAAGGAGGGCATCTTCTCGCTACAGAAGATGACCCTCCGGCACGAGGACTTCGGCAACTGCATAAAGGCAGAACTATCCTGGGTCATGTTCCTCCGCCTTGACATGCGAGCATCAATTGTGCCGTCGCTGTATGCTATGCAGCAGAAATGGAGGGAGCTAAAGGAAAAGCACCCGGAGCAGCTCACGGCGCCCATGCGCATCGACCTGGTCAAGGCCATGTTCAAGGAGTTTGCGGCCAGGCTTGAAAACCTCCCCCAACAGGAGGAGCAGATGACCATTCTGGTCAACCTGGGATGGCTGCGCAAGGACCCAATGGCTTGGCACTATGTGCGCTGGGGCCCGGAGCACGAGAGGTTGAAGGCGGATCCGGAGCGCGAGCCGATTCCGTACGCCCAGGTGGCCGCAGTCGTGGGCTCGATCATGCAGCTGGTGGCAGCAGATGTGGTGACGCGCTTCCACCCCAGCAGGGAGATCACGAAGCAGATGGGAGGAAAGAATCTCACAATGTCGCTACAGACGGCTATCCACGGGGACGCGGCAGCCAGCATTCGGCAGCACCTGCACACCCTCAGCGGGCTAAGCGCAACGCAGCTCCTGGGCATGAGCGTGCGCCAGGACAGGCCAGGGCGCTCGGCGCTGGCAAACGTCATTCAGCGCCAGATCGAGGCACCCTAGGCACCCCAGGGACATGAGTCGTGGAGCCGGGCTGAGCCGGGCGTGGATCAACTCAGCTTTTGACATGGCACTGCGATGACAGTGCCTTTTTGAGGCGGGAATAGCCTCGCTACAGAGGGGTGGATGGCGCTTGGTCCTATCGGGGCGGCCATCCCACCACGGCTTGATTGCTCGGACAGAAGTTCCAAGCGGTGGACATCAACGGGGCCATGTATCGGCTGATAAGGAGGTTGTCTTGGAAAAGAATTGCGTATGGGAATGAACCTACCTGTTCCATGCATGATGGCAATGTCGCACCCTTTTACTAAGGTCAGCATATGGTTTCCACACAGGACGTTTGCCGCGGCCTTGAATGATATTGTGCCCGCCTATTTCTGCACAGGCACTGCGCTTACAGTGGAGCGACAGCACCTTGTATAGGGCGAATCATTTCGGTTGCAGCAAGCCCCCTCGGAGAACCTCTCCTCCAGTTAGCGCGCATGCCGATGTACCAGGCCGATGAGCAGTCACATTCTGACGAATCAATGGATGAAGGTGCTGTGCCGGCTGCGGTAGCAGATGCGCCCGAGGCTGAAGGGAACCAGGTACCAATGGTGCATCACAACATCTACATGGTTGGCGCTGGTAAGCTGACTGCATTTGAAGAGGACCTCAAGCATGAGTACTTCCAGAAACAAACATATCTGATCAGAGGTGTTTGCTGTGAGGGACTTCCGGTGCCTGAGGAGAATCTTGCAGAGGCACTAGCGTTTGGGCTTGTATGTAGTGGTCAGGCGACGTGGAGTCAGCTGGAACGGTTAATGATGCTGCTGCCGGTTGATCGTTCTTTGCGCTGGCCACAGGATAGGCGGCCAGCGGATGAAATAGAACCCAGAAGATTCACTACAGGGGCGTACGTGAGAGGCCCTATGCATGGTACCACGCTCCACGCAAGGCAGTATCCGTGGACCACCCGAGTGCTGGCCGGCATAGTGCGCACTTGGGACGCGGAACTCAGGTTCAATGCTACTACTCTCTCATGTAATGTTCGAGCTCAGCCTCACAAAGACAAGTACAATAAACAGGGCTCCTGCAATCTCATGTTGCCGATTTCAGCTTTTCAAGGAGGCGAACTATTTGTGGAGGACAGCGACGGCTTACATGCTTTACAAGCAGGAGGAAAGCCAGGCCATATTCTAAATGCAGGTGAAGCAACCTCCTTCTCTCCACACCGAGTACATGCCACTTTACCATGGAGCGGCAACAGAATCATTTTGATAGCCTACCACACAGGCATGAGTGCATACATGGATTCAGCAATCAAGAATGATTTGATTCGCGTGGGGTTCAGACCTGGGGATTGGAGGTCGGCCTAGAGCTGCTTTTGCCTACTCGACCTCACAGCGAGCTGGTACAAAGATGGCATGGCTGTGCGCATGAGTGTTCAAACTCCACCAGCTGAAACATTGTTGTGTGCTGAGGTCATGACCGGACAGCAATGGGGCAGAGGCAATGGAAGAGTGCACTGAACCGACAGCGTTCATCTGATTTCCAGCATGCAGACCGCCACATTTCGCGGTGCTATGTCTTCGATTTCAGAGATGCGTGAGCTGCCGCTTTTCGCAGCCAGTGAGAGAGCATGAAGGCCAACATAGTTCTTGATTGAAGTTGCAGTCCACAGAGGCTGCTCAAAACCAAGTGAGACAAATCTCACAATATAATAATTAAGGGGACTGCTACAGCATGCACTATACTCGTCGCTGAATGGGGCTGTCGGCCCGGGCGAGTGTGCACATCCCGTCTGCATGTTTTTGTGTTAATGATAAAGCTGAATCAGCTGGGTTATGCTGTCGCGTACAGCCATGTCCAAGACATGCCCTACACCTCTTATGTAGCCACGCTAGGACGCCTTCGGACGTTCGCGCCACGAAGAAGAAGAAGTAGTAGTAGTGGTGGTAGTGGTAGTACATCTACTGCTGTTACTGCTATTGCTGCTGCGACTGCTACTACTGCAACCACTACTACTACTGCTACTAAAACGACTCCTACTACCACTACTACCACTACTTCTACTTCTACTACTACTACTACTACTACTACTACTATTAAAATATAACTACTATTACTACTACTACTACTACTACTACTACTACTACAAGTACTACTACTACTACTACTACTACTCCTGCTGTTGCTATTATTCCTACTACTACTGCTACTACTACTCCTGCTGTCTCTGCTAATGTTGCTTCTGCGATTATTGCTGCTGTTACTGTAACGCTCAAGATCTTCAACTGTTCGACCAGGATAGTCCTCCAAGAGAGTTTTGTGCTCATCACCATCGTCGCCAGTATCATCATCCGCCGTTTACACAGCCATCATCATCATTCTCATCCACATGGTCATTCTCCGTATCCTCATCACAGCTATCGTCAGCTAGAGCAACAGCGTCATCTGGATCATCGCCGTCATCATCATCGTCATTGTCATCATCATCGTCATCGTCATCATCCATCATTACCTTAATCATTATCGTCATCGTCATCATCATCGTCATCGTCATCATCATCATCATCATCACCGTCGTCTTCAGCATCACCAGCATCAGCACCGGCACCAGCACCAGCATCATCGTCATCATCATCATCGTCATCCTTCTTCAACATCAGCAGCATACCCAGCATCGTTCTCATCCTCATGTCTTCGTCTTCGTCGTCGGAATCCGCGCGTTTACTACGGAAACGAGGTTGCAGAAACGAGGATTGTCGCATGTTTGCATTCGCGATCCGAGGCTGCAGACGTGATCAGTGTCACACCGATGGCTTGCCTAACACGTCGAGGGACCGTCGCACAGATCCTATGCCCGACATCGGCCCAAAGGCAAGGTCGTTTCCACAATAAGAAGAGTATGAGACGACCCACCGGGCATCTATCGCCCATCCGATGTCCATCCGGCATATGTCAACGTGCCGTAAGGTGCCCTCAAGCACTTACTTGTAAATTCTTCGTGTCGCCCACCTCCGGCCGCAATTGAAGAAGGCCGACGGGTTGCTCGAGGGAGGGGGAGGGAGGGGCGGGATGGGGGCCAAGGCCGGGCGGGGGGTGGTGTGCTTGGGGGAAGGGCGCTGAGGAGGGGTTGCGGAGACAATTTGGCAGGTGTTGCAAAGAGGGGAAGCAGGCAGGGGCAGCAGGGATCACTGCTTCGGGCGGGGCCATAAACAATGTATGAAAATACGCCAGGGCACTCCAGGGAAAGACCTGTCCCTGTTATTTCGGGAAATGGCTCTGCTTAGCAATTTTGTCGACAAGGTTGCGGGCTTACGCTTCGATCAACTTCTGGAGTTTGATGAGGGCGATGTGAGGAGCTGAGTTGACAAACTCTGCAACACCTGGCCTAAGTTTCGATCTTGTGCTCTTTCAAAGGTGGGCTTGGGCGGAGGCATCCAGATTCGCTGCGCTCTAAGGGGATCCAAGGTGCATCCGTTTAGCACAGTATCAGCCAATGGCAAGGTGAGCCTGCGAATTTGAATCCGACATCAGATGACATCATTCTACGTTTTGGAGGCACAAGCTGGGCACTTAGTTATTCAGCACGGCAAATGATCTTCTCAATTCATGCTGCTTACTTAGCATGGGCCCAACTTGCTGTTGCATATCTTCAGGCTTCTTTCGTCGCTGAATTTCTGACTTGCTTCGATACCATGATTGATTTGGACCAAGGCTCTCCTGACATGCAGTGGCCAGAAGAGGAGTTGGAAACGGATCGGTATGCGAGAATCGCCTGGTCACCTAGACAGTTTCTGTTCAGGTCTTGTGATGAAGCTTGCGTAGACAGAGTCTTACAACGCCTTGCTTGCAGAAATTCTTGCTCGCACAGCTGAACAAAAAGCCGGACAAACACAGGACTGTGCGAGATTATTGCTTTGCTGCAAAGAATCTCCTTCTCAAAGCCATGTGTTGGGCAGGACTGGAGCAGGCCTCCCCTGTGCCGTGCACCTTCATTCCTGGACGTTCACATGCTGACTGTGTGTCATCCTTCTCGGATGCCAGATTCTGGAGCCAGCGCCGGATTCACCGACAGCAGGCAGGGCTCGACCTGTGGATGTGCAGTTCAACACGATTCTTCATAGGTGAGTGGCTCGAAGATTGTTATCGCAGCATAGCAATGCTGTGCCAAATGATTTCATCTCATTCCATGGCAACGTCTGAAGTCAGCTCTTCGTTTGGGCGTCGCTTCGTCAAATTCCACCGCATGCGGTTGATGCGGTCTCGTGGTCTTGCATGCTCCTTCCAGTGTCGTACAGCTTCTGATGGAGGTCACACAGCCTCGTTTGTGTAGCATCTTTCTCACACGTTCGATTGTTGCATCATACCCGTTTCACACTACACCGAGACGACTTGCTGTTTGACTTTGGCTTGATCGGATTTTCCCTCATGTTCGTCCAGAACCCTGTCTAATGAATGGCACCACAACTGGCATCGACCAAGAAGTCAGTTTTCTTGTTTCGTATTGTAAATGGCTGTACTACTCTACCCTTCCTTGTCAGACTTTGTCCGTCGTGCTGCCATGCGACACTTTCAGCCATTTGCATTGCAATGCAAACGTGTGCAACCAGTTGTTGTTCAGCATGAGTTCGGAGCGCAAGCTACGGCTCGCACTGCGCCCAGAGTTGTTGTCAATGCTGGCTTAGATTTTTTATTCCCAACAAGGTGAGGTGAACATAGATCGTATCAGCACCCCGAGCTGCATTCATACACGCCGATGCTTGCAGAAAATCGTACTCCGCGTGCAAACACCTGCGCGTATCAAAGCGTGCTCCGGCTGATGTGCGACCTCACCACATGCAGACGCAGATGCCTGCGACACGTCGTAGCTCCCTTTTGATGCTTGATCGCTCCACATGTTGCACTGATGCCCGGAACAAATCCTATCCTGGTCTCATTACAGACACAGGCCGATGCCCGTAACACCTGCACCTCCTGTGAGGCGTGATCATACCTATGCCGCCCCTGCGAGCTATGATCTCACAGGATTCACATGCCGATGCCCAGAACACATCGTGACCCCCTGTGACATGTGATCTCACAAAAAACAGACGCCGATCCGATGCCAGCAACAATTCGCACCCCCTGCGATGGCGGTCATGCACACGGCGATGCTTGTAAGAAACCGTACTCCAATAAAACCGTGCCCACTGGGATGTGTGACCTCACCACATAGTCCCCTTGTGATCGCACCACATTCACGCGCCGATGCCCGTAACATCCCGTAACAAATCACGCTGTGATGCGTGAGCGCAGAACAAACCTACTTCGCAACAAACCGTACCCCGGGATGGTCGCACAACATGCACATATCGAACAAATCGCACCCTTTGTGATGTTTGATCTCACAACAGACAACCTGCACTCGCTGTGATGTGAGGGTGCACCACATTCGCACGCCGATGCCCAGAACAAACAATATGTGAGATCTCAGAACATACCTTTGCCGTAAGCACACACACGGATGCAGGTAGACCCACATGCTGCCGATGTTCGCAAGACACATTTGCCATGACCTAAGCACGCATATGAAACAGTAAAGCCTCTGACGGAAATCGGCAGGCGACCATCATGAGTATTGCTGGGCTCCAATCAGAGCCACTAAGTTGCCCAGCCGGAGCTTGTGGGCGAGTGCATGAGTTACTGTTGTTGGTGTTTTTGACGTTGTTAATCTGACCCGGCAAACGAGCATCGTGAGCATCATTGGTAGCCCACACGACATCGCTACATATCGCTACGAGCATCATGAGCACAACCGGAGCCGGCAGGCTGCATCATGAGCATCACTGCAACACAATCGGAGCCAACAGACGGGGGCCGTTTCTCCATTCCGGAGCGGTCTGAAACACCACTTTCAAACACCCCCAAAATTGACCCGATCCGGCAACGGCCCAAACCAGCTCCAGGATGGGTCTGGCCCGGAAAGCGTCCAAAAGGAGTGTGGTGCGATTTGTTTTAATCATGGGCGTGTGAATGCTGTGAGATCACAGCTCACAGGGGCGGCGCATATGAGCGCGGTGGGATCACGCATAACACGGGGTACGTTTGTTTTACGTGCATCGGCGCGTGTATGCACGCGTATGCTCGGTGACATTCATCACTGCTTTCATCGGCGTATGTATGTTAATGCGATCACACATCGCAAGGGTCGCAACTTGCACCATGTATGTGGTTTGAGATCACACCTCACGGTGGGTACGATTTGTTCCGGGCATCGGTGTGTATGTATGACGGGCATCGGCGCTCGCATGTTTTTGAGCTCGCATCACAGGTGTACGACTTGTTCCGGGAGTCGGCGATTGAATGTCGTGAGATCTTGCATAGTTGCCGCTATCAACGTCGATGTGTGCATGCTGTGAGATCACACGACGCAGTCACATGAATTACGGTTTGTTAACGGTTTGTTAAGGAGATGGGCGTGTGTGAGTGTACAACCCTAAAGCTAAGGGACCCACAATTGCGTAAAAAAGCGCAGGGGGCAGCGTGAAACATGTTGTTCGCTGCCAATGAAGACGGCAACATGTTTCAGTTTGCAGAACTGCAGGACTTCCAAGTCTTTCCGTTGTCATTTCTCTGAGGAACACCTTTCAGTGCTTGCGAGTCAATTTCAGCAGCTCAGGTTGCAGACCATGTTTAACAAAGCTATGGAATTTGATGGGAAGCAAGGCTGATCACTCTTACCCTTGTGTACCTGCAAGAGAAGGCCAGCCCAAAGTACACCCAAGAATGCAGTTGTTTCCACAGTGGCCGAAGTCATGGAGCTTTCCAGTGTTAATGCCTTAGTGTCCGAGCATGTCCGAGCTGAGTACGCTGCATCGCTTGCAGCGTATCAGTGGATGTTGAAAGGTTACAGGTACAAAGTGACCGTTGTCTTATACAGACAAATTCCCCTTTGCATGCACATTTTCAGAATCTGTGTCATGTTGAATCCGACAAGCTTTCAAGCAAGGCATGCAAACAACAGCATCTATGTTTCGATGTAGCTAAATCCAACCAACCGAGAGTGCGCCCAACTTGTCGAGATTGTGCTTGTATGTGTTATTCAGATCACATCTGATCCGGGCGTCGGCATATGAATGTGGTGCGCTCGCACATCACGGCGGGTGTAGTTTGTCTGCGTGTTTTGAGACCACACATCACAAGTGGTGCGATTTGTTTCGACATGTGTATGTTGTGCGACCACGTATTAATGTTGCATTGACGCCTGAGACGCACCCTGCACGGCCGTGCCCCTTGAAAGGTAAAGTTCCGGCGCTGCTTGTTTTCGCCTGCAAGTCTGCAATCGCCTGCTAGTTGCCCTGTCTAGCTTTCGTCCCAGCCCCTCCTCCCGCAGTCGTCGAATACGAACATCACAACTTTTCTGTCCTCACGCCGTGGTGGTAGTAGAAGTAGAAGTAGAAGTAGTAGTAGTAGTAGCAGCAGCAGCAGGATGAGGAGTAGTAGTAGTAGTAGTAGTAGTAGTAGTAGTAGTCGTAGTCGTAGTAGTAGTGGTAGTTGTAGTTGTAGGTGTCGTAGAAGCATGAGTAAGAGGAACAGGAAGAAATGTGCACGAGTGCGTGCTGCAGGTTTGGGTAGCAGCTGGCTGCAGCTAGCACGCATGTGCACGTCAGCGGCTCTCTTGCCTCTTCACATCACACCCCCAAAATTTGCGGCTTGGTCATTTTGCGAGGTAGCATCACTCCTGTGGGGGGGGTTCACATGGGAAGGGGTACCAGCGCAAACTCAGGGAACCTTAGGGAACTTGGCGGAGTACTAGGAAGAATGTGGAAGACGGCTTCCTTAAGGTAAGATGTCAGCAAAACGTCTGAGAATTTGTCATCGCGACGCCTTATTCGGGGGCCTTTCGTTTGAAGCCCAGCGAATCGGCCCAAACGGCGATGGGAACACGTTTGCATGACACCGGGGTCCGTTGATGTAGATGAGGCTGGCTCCGGCTACTGTGGGGGGCAGGTTTGAGGTGGGTGCTTCTTGAACGGGCAGGGTGTGTCGAGGTCAGCGGACTTGTGATGTTTACTTCCAGCGCCTGCAGCAGGGCTGGGAAATCGACAATAGTGTATTCTCAGTTTGCCGCATTAACACGCAAAGCAACCTCGGTATCCAACATCTTGTTCATGTGGTGTACAAATTTGTGCCGAGCCTTGCTTTCGATTCTATGACAGTCGTGATTATAAGCAGTGCTTTTGCCTTGTTGGGCTGACGAAGGCAAGATGCGGCTGCGGAGGAGTCGAGCGCAAGCTCTGCGTAGGCATAGTACGGCGTGGCATCGGTCGGTTATGGCTCGGTTTCAAGCCCTCGAAGATCCTTATCCGAAGCATTTGTTGCGGTATCTACCGAGATACACAAGCTCTGCTGAATGGCAGCGCGTGCCTTCTCATCACCCAGCGGTTTCACCCCTTTCCGGACAGAGCACCTGAGTGTGAGTCCTTCAAGAGGTGTATCTCAGGCTCTGGCAAAACGGTGAACCTAACTTCTGCATTGTCGGGACAACTGCAAGTGCACAATTCAGGAATGCCAGTGAAACGGAGAGTGGATGGCAGGTTGCGCAACGGTGGCTTCCTTCTCCATTCCGGACCCAAGGCAACCTTTGACTAGTCAAGTGCTCTGCTTGGTTTGTTCAGGGCAAGAGGTTTCCGAGAGTCACCAGTGCTTCGCACGAACAGAGTCACAGAGTGCAATACTGCAACTCACAGGAGAAACGTAAGGACAGCAGCAAGAACCCTCAAACCACAGGCAGACCCTTGATGCCGATGTCACCGAGGCTGGAAAGCGTCTCGCAAGACTCCAGGGATTGTCTGAAAGGGGGAAGTGCAATTTTGCGGAATGCGGCAGACGTGTTCGTAGAGCCTATGGAGGCAGATGCAATGAGTCCGACATTGTCTGGACACACCGGTTTCCGTCTCAGAAGGAGCGGCGATGACCTTCAGATCCGCTATGAACGCACTTCAGTGCCTACATCAGATCTGGCTGTTCTATGCAACGGCTCAGGTGAGGTCGGCCACGGGGAGGCTGAAGAGGATGCTGCTAAGATTTATGCGGAGGGGACTATTTTGGGGAGGCTGCTTTTTGACGCCCCGGGCTTGAAGTTGATCGCTGCCGTGGGGGGGTGGGGTGGGGAGGGGCTTGTTGTGGCCATGGGATACGATGTCCGGATCCCGAACAGTAGTGCAGCATGGTAGTAACACGGTAACACGTTATGAGGTTGGTGGAGTAGCGAAATTTATAAACCATATCACGGCTGCACGACACTCTGAGGGGTATTCATCCAGCATCCGTTCTGGGTGCAGGATGTTCTGCTCCGAGTGCCACTCGACTTGGAAGTGCAGGACGCTCAGTCTTGCCCCGTAATTGTCTTTACCTGTTGCCGGTGTTCCAGCGACTGCACCATAAGTTTTTGTTTTGGGTGTGCGGGGTGGTACCGAAGTGGTAGAGATGGAGGGTCAGAATTCCATGGTTGCTGCAAGCAGCAACGGAAAACCGGAGGTCCGCATAGCAGCATCAGCAATCGTGGGGCTTGATGTTGCTGAGTTGGCCGCAGTCCTTCAATGCAGTTCAGGAAGGGTCGGGCAGTCGCAAGGCCGAACGACGTGACCTTGCGAACCCTCCAGCACCTTCTCTCCAAGCAGCTGGAGGAGGCAAGACAACGTTGACATGACAAGTGGCCGCGTGAATCATTGTCCGAGGCAGGATTGCAAGCCCTTCGCCCTCCATCTGCCCAACGCCAAGAATCGCTCTATGCTGCGATGCTTCGGAGCCCAATGCTACGCCACCACGCCCCGAGGCTTTGTTTCTCGCACTGAATGGGCACCTCTGTGTCGACCCAAAAGTCCCTGTCTTAGAGGGTCAGCCTTAGCGGCCTCAGCACGGTGGCCAACCTGACAGCCCAGGCACAGCCCTTGCGGAATTTGGTCCCTGGATCTGTGGTCTCCCTCGTCGAGGATGGCATTCTTGCGGCATTCTTGTGTTGCACTTTTCGTCAGATTTGTCGCGGCCTTTTTGTTCCTCACGCAAGGGTTTGAAGGAACTCGGGTCCAGTGCCCTTGCTTGCGATGTGGAGTCCGGATTACCGTTGCTCGCGATTGCTCGTGCATTCTTGCACGTATCCTCTGCCCCTTTCGTCTACAAGTCGTGGTCGAGTCTTCGCAGGACATGGGAGAGGCGCAGGAGGCAGCCGATGAATGGGCATAGGATCGTTCGAGCTGTTGCTTGTGCACTCTGGAGACTTCATTGCATGTCTCTCTGTGTATGTGCCAAGAAATTTCCTTGTATTGATTTGCAAATGGAAGCCGTGCACCTTCAGGCAAGATCGTATGGATTCGATGCGAAGCAGTTCGCGCGGAAACGAAACGAATCGAAACGACTTCCAGTCTGGCACTCTTTTCATAGGACTTGTAGTGACGGCAGTTGTCGTCTGTAAGAACTGTGCCTGACCGTCCCATACACGGTTCCCAAGCGGCCGTTGCACCGCGTGCACCATAGCCAGAGATGCATGCGAACTCCGAAGCTTGGCGCCTGCCAAGGTGTGCAAACCAATGTAGCGAGAAATGGTTCGCACGCCGAAATAAACGGCCGAAGCCGAAGATTCACCCACCCGGCTCACGCCCACACACGCCCACACCCACACCCGCACCCCACACCATTTGACAGCACTACCAACCTTGCAATGCCAAACTGCTGAACAATTCTGCAAGTACGAACATGTCTTAGCCGCACCATCAGTGCAAACACCAAGAACCCCGCGAAAAACTGTCACTACTAAGGCAGTCAAAACTTGGATGCGTGCTAGTCCAGAATCTTGAATTCACGAAGTGCCTGAGACACCTCAACTAGCAACGAAGGCAACACCCTGAGCTGGCAAACTTCAGAGCAACAAGAGTGTCAGTGTCACAGAGTGTATGTGTGTCTGTGTTTGTGTGTTTTGGATGGCGATTGGTGGGCCTTGAACCGAAGCAGATCTTACTAGTTCCTGCCAACATGGGCCAACAAGTATTGAAGTGAGCGCGACAGCACCTCAGGTGGCCCGGCTGGGCTTGTGCCTGAATGCCGTCCAGCTACTGCAGGTTGGGCTAGGAGCTTTGCGACCGAGAGTCAGAAACGCTTGGCATGGAGGTCCAATACCCTACTTTTTCACCGCCCGGCCAACAAGGCTTGGCTGGCTTCCTGAGACCCTTCCATGATGCCTCACGGCCTTCAGGTCATCAGAAGAAAATGCCAGAGGAGGCATGCTTTGTACCACAGCTACGAGATTTGCTTATTTTCAAGAAGCCCTCACATCGGCCCGTACAGGTCGTTTCATGCCTGGGAAACGGCAGACAACACACCATTCTGTCAAGATGCTTGCAGCACACATGTGCTGGAGGTCTTGCGAGAAAAGAGGCAGCGCCTCTATAAGACGCAGCCGTGTGCGAATTATGCAGCGGAGCCTCTGCGGCAAGCTGCTCACACAAGCTGTCCTAGCTTGCGCTGATGGTGTTGCGTGCACAAGCATGCTGCAGGGACATTGCACTTTTGGCCACAAGTGCCACTTCGCACATGGAGAACATGAGCTGCGTCTTCCTGGCAAAGTTGAAGGCCATCAGAAGTGCTGAGACAAGCCTTTTCCGACCCACATGGTTGACCCTGCATGTTCTGAAGGCAGCCCTTCCACGTCGATTTCCAGCTGGAACCTGGAAAGAAACGACGGATCCTGGGAAGAGAGGTGCATTCCGGAATAGGCTTGAGCCAATGCGTGATTTGCGATCCATTCCTGCTCGAGGAGCCAATGGCCGGAGTCCTGGAAGTGGGGAGACGCTGCCACCAGCGGCTGGAGGAGACATCGGAGTTTCAAGTGCTTGCCAGCACTTCTTTGTCGAAGCAACTACATGTGCTTGCACGTTTGTCAGCAGGCGGGGTGAGCAGGAGTGGCAGCAGGCATGACGCTGTGCTTGCTTTCGGGGATATAGCATTTATGCAGTCTCTGGCAGTTTTGGGGGCTCACTTCGGGGCTTAGGACTGGCAAGATGGCGCAGATTGGTCTTGGTCCGTTCGCTTCTGAACGCGTGGAGAGGGCCCCGGCCGGCGCGGTGCGTGTTGAGACGCTGTCTTGAGGCTTCTGGCTGGGACGGCTGGTCGGAGGCCGCCGGAGACGCCTTCTCGGAGAGACCGTCTTCCCTCTGTTCGCGTTTCTTGCAGGCGAGAGGATGGAAGCGGGAAGGCGCGGGGCGCTTCGTCTTTGCCGCGAAGTGGGCTCGTAGGCGTCATGACCCTACAGCGAGACAGGCTGGCAGTCGGACTGGCAAGATGGTCAAGATGGCCAGTGGGAGAGCGACGCCGGAGCGGGAAGCGATGCTGGCACTGTCAGAAATGTGGGGCAGGTTTCTTGGCGAGAACCAACAGAACCAACAGGGTTTGGCATGAACAACCACGGCTCAAGAACAGAAGGTGCAGGTGCGAACCAGCCGTGGGCATGTGCAAGGAAGACTATAGACCGTGGCTGAAAGTCAGGTCGAGGGTGGTAAGACAGATGCTCCGCGGGCTGCTCAGTCGTCGCCACGACTCACTGTCCCAGAATGGCATTGTCGGAGGCATATTCAACAGACCGACGGAAGCGAGGCACAGAACATGCAGTCTACGTCTACATCACTCTGGAAAAGCGATGGGCTTGCGTCAGGAATCTCGAAGCGATGTGCTCAATGTGCTCCATCAAGTCGAAAGACAAACTGGAGACTTGCGAGGAGCCGCACTGCCGCACTGCCGCGAATTGCGTTTGGTGGTATCTGAGACTGCAGGCAGCCGTGAACGCCAGCGCGACGACCGAAACCAAGAATTTGGCCGAGGTGCGCCACTTGCGTTTCCCACACCATTGGTCTGTCTTGAATGCTGCAGGCGCTCGAAGCTTGACCAGGGAGAGGCGGCTTGTGCTGTCTTGTACTGGTGTGGAGTCCGTTCAAGAAAACGGATGGCAGGGATAGACGCCGGCGTGGCAGGCCGTGCTAGTCAGAGCCGAGCTCCCGAGCTTGCAGAGCGAGACTTCGGGCAGGTCTCCCTCTCCAAGACGGCGCCCTCAGCAGGCGATCGGCCAGAGGTTGGGCTTGACGAGCACAGCGCCACAGGCGCGATGGCTCCGATCCCGGAGCCGCAGCCGTGGCCGCAGCCGTGGCCGTAGCCGGAGCCGCGGCCGGAGCCGCGGCGGGAGCGGCCGGCAGCGCCGGAGCCGAGAGCGGAGGCCCCGCTAGAGCCGGAAAGAAAAGAGGTGAAAGTTGCAACGAGTTGCAACGACGCCCGCACTGCCCGCGCTGCCTTCTCTTTCGCCACAAGCTTTGACTGTGACCTGCAACTCTCCAGCTTGGGGTTTGTTCGAGTTATCGTTTTCGATACAAGATTCAGAATCCTGTAATCGTGTGCCCATTTTTGTTGCGGGAGGGTTGCTATCGGAGATGAGCTTCCAGATGTACTCGTAAGCGAAGGCAGCCTCACATTCTCGTCAGCTCCAGGATCACATGTGAACAAAGGCTAAAAGTGGAGTTCAGCACGTCAAAGCAATGGGGTCAAGCAGCTCTGCTGCCAAGCAAGAAGCGCAGGCACCAAAGTACCTGTCTGCACAGAGGGTACTTAGTGAGTTAATCTTGGTTGTCCTTTGCTGTTCAGTTTTATGCTCGCGTGGTCGCAGTATGCTGGCAGCGCGCCTCATGTGCATCTGAGGCCTGCTCAGCTATCACTCCCTATCCAGAACAGGCGGACACGCGCCGTTACACTCAGTGTAGAGCCTCGAGAAGCTGTGGTCGAAGTGGGCACCGGCGCTAGCGGCGCAGGCTGCGGCGCTGGTGTGTGCTTGCCTATCAAAAACCGCCGTACTCGTGGGGTAATCTTGGAGACGGCGGAGTTCAATCCAGACAGACTGGCTCCACCAAGTTTGAATGTTGGTAGGGGCCAAGATGCTGGAGGAGACATGACGCGACGGGCCGTTCACAATCCTGTTGGGCCTTCCTTTGCCACGGACTCGCCCACTGCGCTGGTTCCTAGACTGCCAAGTTCACCCGCAGCGACTTCATCTGCAAGAACGTCTTCCGTTCCAGCTTCGCCGTCGGTAATGTCACGCAACTCGAGAGTACACTTTGCCGCATCACCGGCTTCTGTGGTAGAAATCACTCCATACAGTTGGACCTCGCGTTCCTCGGCTTGTTCCCCGACTTCGCCGACGTTCGATGAGTCACCAGCGCGGCCAGCGACAGCGCTCAGCATCCCGCAGACGGCTCCAGGTGCATCGAAGATCAAACGAATGCCTAGTTTCTGTTCTTTCAGCCCTAGCTTGAAGCTTTCATAAAATTCTTAATACCGCTTTGTTCATGGCAGTCCGAAGTTCGAATCACTGTGCAATATCGCTAGCAGCAGGAAGGAAGCTTCGCCCAGAGGCGGGCAATGCCAAGTAGGGTCTCCATGGGTGCAAAAGCACAGATGCCGAGGGGGGTTGGCAGGGGAGTCACTAGAGTCTATCTCGAGGTCGGCAGAGAGCATGCTGGAGCCATCTAGAGCCCTGGCGGGCGACTGACCAGTGCGTTGCCGGTTTGATGCCGGTCAGGCTGCGAAACAGCCCTACCTCCGAATCGACTGCCTCCTCCAAACAGGGCACTCCAACTTACTCATGACTGTCGAAGTGCGCCAGGCCTCTATGCTAACGGAAGCTTGCAGCACACGGTGGTCATTCCTGCGGTGCAGTACGTGCAGCACTACGCTTGGACGGCACCGTCAGCAGCGGCTCCTGCAATTCCAGTTGTGTCTGCACCATCGCTGCCTCTGGCTGGTGCTCCTGCGGCAAACGTGGCACACGCAACTGTTGCAGTGTCCTTGCCGAAGTCGATTGCGCCAACAGCAGCAGCATCCAAGCGGACGCAGACAACATTTTGATCGGATGCTGTTTGTGGTTTGTGTTTACTTTCTATCTGCACATTCCTTGTCGCATACAGTATTTATTTTGAGCATCTATACTGCTGAGGCCACGTGGCGCCAGTGAGGACAGGGCGAACTCGCAATCGAGTCTGCTCGCATCAACTGATGCATCTGGCTGCTCGCAGATGTGTTGCCTTCGATCTCTGATGCCACTCCCAGGAAACTCACACTGGCGTGTGCATAGCCATTCCAGTGTGTGCAAGATATGTTTCACCCTTACTAACAGTATTTCAGTGATCTGCGATGTGGATTCACATTTTGCTTCTTCGTGCCCGAAGGGATCCCCGAGGGATCTCAGCGTGTCACCTGGAGGCAAGCCGCTGCACCAGCGTCCAGAATCTCGCAAAAGTGCTCAGATCACCCCAGTACCCCAGGCCCAGGCGCCCCCCCGCTCCCGCCTGAGCCTCATGGACATCTTCCCTGGCCCTGGGCGTCAAGTTATCTGACTGATCGCGAGTTGTGGGTACACGCAAGATCGTGGGGCATTATGCAATATATGCAATTATATACAAGAAGGTCCGCATTTTGAACGGTTCGAAGTTCCTGGCGAATACTATAGACTATAATTATAAGATGACTTACCCTCTGAGAAGGCCTGCAACTGGTCCCGACAAGAGGAAGCCTGCAGCGATTGTTGCTCAACAGCACACAAGTAGTGTGTGCGCCGGCAACTCCCAATATGGAGTTCTACGGACAAGGTGCTGCCTATGTTGGCCAAGGGCGCATGCAAGCAATGCCACAGCAGGCCTGATTCAGTGCGCAGCTTAGTGGGGCCAGAGTGGATTGGTATATCTCAGGTCCAAGCGCAGCTCGCTGCCCAGCAACAACCAGCAAACGACGAAGACGTCGCCAGACTCGTGCAGGACAAGTGACACACAACAGTTTTTTGGAGTTGCGATTTGGAGAGTAGGTGATGACATGGGGTGTGGGTGTGGACGAGCCTGAAAAAGCGTTGGAAGGCACAGACTCCCCACTGCTCGAAGCCCAAGCCCGAATGTACACACAAAAGACGGCTTCAAGTCCGACGTCCCAAGCCTGAAGCCTTAGTTAACCTCATCCCCTAGCCGAATTTCACATCGTTCTCGCTTTGCTCTATCCAAGTGCGTTTCGTACAGTGTTTGCTCGCTTGCTTGAACACGTCATGTTTAGCTACAAAGACCACTCATGTCGAAAACGTTAGTGCGGGGCCGCAGCTGAAGGGTGGAGCTGTCGTAGCATGACACTGCCACCAATCCAACAGATTCGTCTGATGTGCCGGAGAAGTTGTTGTCTTGTTTGCAGCTTAGATCTACCGTCAGGATAATGCAACATTTACACACGTGTCTTCATTGTCTCCTGTTATGTTCAGTATTATGCTTGAAACTTTGGCTGCTCAATCCCCGTTCATGCCCTCAGTGATGATCCATGCTGGCGAAGGAGGGTCTTCAGTTTTTGTGTCCTAGTGCAGACTAGAAAGGCTAGTGGATTCTACCTGTAGCCGTGCACCAGTACCCCAGTAGCATCCAGTAGCTCGCTTCACATAGAAACTTCATTGCCGTGTGAGAGATTATGTTCATGTATCAGTTCTTGGTGCAAGTTGCGGCTCGAGTTGAAAGAGAGCGGGGTCTGTGACAAGTGCAACAGTGTGTATGCTCCCGTGCCTGAGATGCTGTCTGCAGACCGAAGTCCAAACTCTGCCAGGACCTGCAGAAAGGCGATGAGCGCGAGACGGCCTTGCTGGAGTTGTCTAAGCGAAGGGAATCTCTGCAAGATCTCGCGTTTGGGCCCTCTCTTGGTAGCATGGTCCTCCCTTACGGATAAGTCCATCTCTCAGGCCAATCCTGTGGCATTCGTTCGGCACAATCGTGGCGCTGATACAGGACATTCAATCGATTGAATCCGCTCTCGGCAGTGTTGCACGAGACAAGTCAGTCAGCACATGTTCATCCTGAATGTATTTCTTCGATTTCAACCCATGGAGGAAATAGTGCAAATCTACCCGCAGCTGGCGCAGCCACCCACATTGACAGCAACAGCATCCAATCGCGTCTGCAACTCGCTGGCTTTGTTGCAATGTGCAGAGCCCTCAGATGGAGTTTCCACTGCGATCTGAGAATCTGCGGCCACGCGAAGCGACGTGCTCGTGAGTCTAATGAGGTGGCTTCCCATCCAGAGACTCGCCCTTTATTTCTGAAGGTGGACCTTCCGCTTCGCAGTCACAGCATGCCTGTTGTGGTTCGTGATTCGAAACCGGGGCTCGAGTGACAAATGAGAGCTGCGTCTGCATCATGAGGACTCTAAGACGACACCATGCAAACGAGATGCAAGGCCTCGCATGTCAACTGCCTTCTGTTTGTGTTTGGTTGCAGGCGCAGATTCCCTTGCTGCTGTACCCTTTCCTGAACACGTCTAGCGCAGTGGCCCTGCTGCATGTGCTGGAAAGCAAGAGCGGCCCGAGTGCTGCCAGCCACAGGAGAGGCCATTCGAATACCTTCGGCTGACTTCTCTCGGGGTTATCGGAGCTCTGGTGAAGGCGCAAACCCAAGAGACCAGCTGGGCCTAGCTGCCGGTCAGGAAGCACACCAAACCCAGGTGGACGATCAAGATGTCATCGTCTTTCTGCTCAACACCGAGATCATTCCGCTTTGTCGGCCTCTCAGGAGCTGCCTGCCGTATGTCCTAGCTCACGTCCGGCGCGATCCAACTTCCGCACGCCAGTGGTTGGTTGCGCTGTCTGTGCAGGTCTGAGGATAATGGAAAGCGGAAGCGAACTGTCCAAAACAGCAGCGCCCCTTATTTGGCAACCATACCAGCCACCATTGTCGACTGAAAGCAAGGTTGCGACATTTATCGTGCAGAAGCTCCTACTGGATGAGTCAGCCGCGAGCCTGACTTGTCACCGCCTCCATACAGTATTGTTCTGCTTACGTCATGAGCACAACTGCAGTGCATTGTTGCCACATCGCTTTTGAGAAAGTCTTGCAACATCTATTCTTTCATGTGCATCCCATGTATTGTCGCATCGACAATTCTCGTTTCGGAAACGCTGAGATCCATGATGAAACAGACTTTTCTGACAGCATCTTTACATAGCATCCAGAGCTGTAACAGCTGGACTGGGACGCTGCTGTGGCGGCTTCTGTTGCAGCTCCGGGCCCGTTGATTACGCAGAATCGTCTTTCACTAACATCAAGATTGCTGCTAGGGCTGTTTGCGTCAGGCTTTTTGTCGGATTCAGGCGTCGCTGGATGGCACTTGCCGGAATGGGCTTTTACACACCCCGCAAAGTGGAATCTGGAATTCGCCTTTTCATACAGATCCGACAACATAGCTTCGCAAGATTTCCAATCGAGAACACCGTTATATTGTCAAAATTTCGGAATTCTGTCCCGATGGCATGGCGGCAAGACAATACAATGGAGCCTTATTTTCTGGCCAAGGGCTTGTACTACGTGTGCGACTCTGCACATCGTTTCTATGCAGTGAAAGACTCAGCAGCGCCTGCTTACGGGACTTTGCATTGCGCACGAACTGGACCTGTCTTCTGTCGAGCCGGGAGAAGACGAGGTGGCAAATGTGCTCTCCAAGATGGTGCCTCACTCAAGACTCTGCAGCGTTTGACGCTGGCGTGTGTGCGCTTGGACCGAGGTGGGTGTTCTTGTACAGAGCCCGTCGATCCGGTTGCTCAAGGCCAAACAAATCCAGTACTCGATTTGCTACCTTGCAAGTCCAATCCAACCTGTGCAGCACGTGGTTCGGTGCTACCTGCGCCTCACAGAAGATCCTCGAGCCAGGGAGGTCTTTGCCCAGCCGTGCATTTGCTTTTGTCTTGTGTCATTCAGCTTCCACGACCGCTCGATTGTGTGGATCCTGATATTGGATGCAGGATGCACACCGAGCGCTTGTCTTTGCGGCATTCTTCTATGTCACCGTTACCGTCAGCAGCAACGGCAGCAGTAGCAACAGCAGCACCTTCTAGTACTACGCCAACAAATAATTACGATGACGACGACGACAACTACTACTAGTAGTCTTCCTGCTACAACAGCAACAGCAACAACAGCAGTAGCAACAACAACAGCTACTACTACTGCTACTGCTACT